GTCCCGGGGGCATTAACCGTTGTAGTATTACCCCACAGACTCCACCGCCTCGTTTACCTGAGCCTCGGTGCAGAGCTGCATGTCCTCCACCCTCTGACGGTAGCTCTCAAACTCGGCCAGCGCCTGACGCTTCATCCTCTCGTGGAGCTCCATGGACTCCTCCAGCGACTGGATCCGCTTCTTCAGGTCCATCTCATCGCTGATCTTACTCTTGTACTGCGACGCACAAGTAGGAATCAGAGTTTCAAACGTGGACCACAAATAATGTTACTGTCAGTTGTGAAAGAAATCCTTAAAACAAAAACATTTTCATGTCACGTTAATGATGTAGAGCTGCTCATCATCGGCGTATACAGTGATCCTCTGTCTCTCTGTCGTTTCTTATTTTTCCATTCTGTTGACAGTGAGCGAGACGTCAAATTACCAGTTTAAAATACCCAGCAGGTGGCAGCATTACTGCCACCTAATGTGGCAGAACTGAGGCTGTTAGCAGGGTTAGCTTGGGCTAGCTCAGGTAAGCTAAAAACTCCCGAAACACAAGTGTCAAAATGATACTCATATGCTAAGTATGAGCATTGGGGCACTAATTAGCTAGATGCTAGGGTCACAAAAAAATGCTAACTGCTAACCAGATGCTACATTTAATTTTATTTATTCCTTTTATCCCTTGGGGATTCAATAAATAAATACTGTAAATGTTTATTTCTGGGTGAAGAGTTTGGAAAAGATCATGTTGACATCAAATGTGGGGTCAAATGTGTACTTAGCACCACCTACAGGCCAGCGATGTGGAGGTACATGTGATGGTAAACTGCCGACCTCTCCTTCAACCCTTTAATATTCATGTGTGTTAATGTGAATAACTTTGTTGTGAAGGTGATTTCAGCCACGTGGACGTGAAGTCGAGCTGCACCGACCGAGGGAGACACGTGAGCTGCTGCAACACGTGAGCTGCTGCGACGGTCGGACGGCAACTGTTGCTGCTGAGTCTGAGGCAATCATGAGGGAATAACCCGAATAATCAGACAGTGTCAGTAGACGTGACTCCACCTACAGTCTGAGTGCTGATTGGCTGACCCCCAGTATCGAGAGGTTAAACATTCAGCTTTGTGATTGGACGTTGATGGTTCAAATCCAAACATTGTGCAGATTATATATTCAACGTAGAAGAGGACAGACCTGCAGTATCTTCTCTCTGGTCTCAGACAGGATCTGCTGCACCTCCTCTTCGTGGGCCTCCTTCAGCGTGGCGATGGCCGCCTCGTGTTCGTCGTTTTTCGTGTTCAGTGCATAGATAACCTGACACAGGGGAACAGGAAGTACAAACGTCACCGCGACATCACTTAAGGCGTTTCCATCCCGGTATGGGGAACCATGAGGTGATAGAGGGCGCTGTAGCACCCTCTATGACTGTCAACGCCACTGCCCCCTTGTGGTTAACATTCCTGTTGCATTTGATCAACAGTAATGTGTATTTAAAGACATTCAAAACTGTGGGAAAATCAACAAAAGAGTTTAAGAGTTTAATCAACCGAAAATACCAAACCTCTAAAGTGCAGTTGTAAAGTGAACCACATCAAATGGAGGTCCGGAATTTTTGGCATTCCCAGAAAACGCCTCCTGGGTCAAAGGTCAACCTGTGAGGAACCCAAGGGTTGCCTACATCTGAGGGTAAAGTATACTTCACTTCACATTTCCTCTGAAGATTCTGACGACAGAATGGGACCAGAAGATAAAATGCAAATCACTGCTGCATTACTGAGTAAATGATGGAAACTGGTCCAACCCCCCCCACCCCTAAATCATCATGAGAAGCCGCAGTAATGCCCCGCTGTCAGGGTATTACAAACTGTATGATGGCCCTAAAGGAAGAGGGTAAAAATAAGGCAGAAAAACAAAATACAGTGAAAGAAATCTGCCCCCAGAATACACCCCGAGAGGGGGAGAGAGTCAGGGGTGGGGGGGGCAAAGTGAGTCAGAGGGAGAGAGAGGTGAGGCACATGTTACCACTGGTCCTGAGGAGGGCACCAGGGCATTAACATTCTGCCCCACGCCTCCACGTGACTCCCATTAAAGACGTTCCCTCAGACATAAATCCTTGAGGCAGAGAAGGTCGGTACCAGACTGGACTGTTGGCACCTCCTCTGCTGCTGCCTCCACAACAACCGGTCTCCTCCTGCCAACACTCCATATTGGACCATTCTTCACCCAGACCACCACGCCAGTCCTCACACGTCTCTCAGGGCGACACGCGCAAACACATTCACAGAAAAACCCTGCTGCTCGCCTCCCTCCGGTCACTGAGCCGGAACCGATTACACTGAGTTTTGTGTTGGTGTTGTTTTGTGTTTGGCGGGGGGGGGGGAGTCCTTGTATAGCCATACAATTCTTCAGAATTAACAGTATGTGTTAAGCGCGTGTGTCAGTGTGAGATAGAAGTAACAAATGAGAAACAGGAAGTGAGTGGGTCAGAGGCCGACGGAGGAGATTTTTTCTCACATCTCCTCAGGTTAAAGGCGAGTGTGTCCTCAGAGAACGTTGGATCGATGCGCCGGTGGCAGGATGCCACTGATTCTGTCCGTCGGCCGAGAGAGAAATTCGGCGCTGAGGAACTGAGCGAGCTTGAATTTCAAATTAAAACATGATTACATGAGTAAAGAAATGAAAGCGCAGGATGGGGATAATTTACTGGAATCAGTAGCAGGGTAATTATGAGACAACATGAAATTCAACAGTGCCTGGTGCTTCATTAGCACTGGAGGAAAACAAACGGCTATTTCTTCCTCTTACGCAACCTGCGTGAACGGCACCTGAGAAGCACTAAAAAAAAACAAACAAAAAAAACTTCAATTGTGTTTCTTCTAATGAAGTCCATTAACACGGCTGAGAACGAAGGAGTGAGAGAGAAAATCTGGATGAGAGTCAGGTATAAAACAGTGACGCCAGGACGGAGGGAAGGTTTACACACACACACACACACACACCTGGGTCACATCCTTCAGCTGATGAGACTTTGATGATAATAACCAGGTCTAACGGCCCGGCGTTTCGTTGCCTTCACGGTCGTCAGGAGTAATTTCAGGCCGGCGTTGGTGCAGCTCTGTCTTGCGAGAGCCGACGGTGGGAGGTCCATAAAGAAGAGTGAAGAGTGCGGAGCCACAGTGTAGCTAGACGGAGTGAAATGGCCGCCATCCCTCATGCAAGTCTTTTTTTTTATTATGTATAGATTTAATAAAACTGTTTTTGCAGAGAGAATATTTCCATGAAGTATGTAAAAATGATAACGCACTTCTTTCAACATACTTTTACGCCTCCTCTGTTTTATTGGTTAATTTAATTTCAGCGGTTGTTGTCATTTTTTTCCCCACATTTCCAGGAGAATTTAGACGATGACTTTAAAACAAACACCAGGAGCCACTCTTAAATAAACTTTTGCACTTCTTGTACGAGAAACCGCAGCTAACGCACCACTGCTACTGCAGCTGAGTAGAAAGGTAAAGGTCAGCAAAAATGACCTTAAATGATAGACAGAAAAACCTCATGTATGAACCACAACATGTATGAAAATAATAAATAAACGTTACTTAAATAATCATTAATGAATAATAAATCTAAGTAAACCAAGGTGACAGATAAAAGGTTACGGCAAGAACAAAATAAATAAATAAAATGTCAACAGATTAGGAAATTAACATTGATATGTCCACTGTAGCTAATTTAAAAGAGAACACAACTGTTAGCATCTGCCTAAAATTAATAAATAAATAAAACAAACTTCCTTATGCTAAAGCTAAGCTAACAAGCTGAAAAAAAAGGTTTATGTTGTTGTGACAGCTGTATATGCAAAAAACCAAAAACAAAATCATGAATGTAGCATTTTAGCATCTTATCTCCACAGCCACAGTCCATTCAAAGACTGGGCCTCTGCAGCCATGAATGACTGTATGGACTGGTGCACTCTGAGGGATGAAATAGTTCTAACTGTCCAGAGGGGGCCGACGGAGAGAAACAGCCTTTAATTGCAGCAGCAACAGCAGCAGCAGCTGCAGCAGCGGGACGCACAACGAGAAAACGGCCCGCGAG